GGCGCTATCTAGCGGAGAATGTCGGTTTGTGACAGTTTACGCTAGATAGCGCTAGATAGCGCTAGATATCGCGGCGACAGCTAGCGCTAGATAGCGCTATCTAGCGTAAACTGTCACAAACCGACATTCTCCGCTAGATAACGCTAGATAGCGCTAGATAGCGCTATCTAGCGGAGAATATCGGTTTTTGACAGTTAACGCTAGATAGCGCTAGATAGCGCTATCTAGCGCTAGATATCGCGGCGACAGCTATAGCTATGGCTATAGTTGTTAAACGTTAAATATATATAACGTTGGTTATAGGTTTTATTTTTAACGTTGCAAAACGTTTATTATTTGACTTCAGATCAAGGTTACCAGAGTTTAAAATTCAACTACATTTGAACGTTGTATGTAGGTTACATATAAAACGTTGTTAAACGTTAGATATCTAACGTTGGTTATAGGTTTTATTTTTAACGTTGCAAAACGTTTATTATTTGACGTCAGATCAAGGTTACCTTATTAACTATAAGCAGAGTTTAAATTCAACTACATTTGAAAGTTGTATGTAGGTTACATATAAAACGTTGTTAAACGTTAAATATCTAACTTTGGTTATAGGTTTTATTTTTAACGTTGCAAAACGATTATTATTTTACGTTAGATCAAGGTTACCTTATCAACTATAAGCAACGTTCAAAACTCAACTAAATTTTAACGTTGTATGTAGGTATACATATAAAAACTTTGCCGGCTGGTATAGGCTTAGACTAATATTTTGAGAAAAAGCGGCGCGTGATAGTAAATTACGAGTATCACCCGTTAACGAGTGAGATTCTTCCAGTATAAGCTGTTTATGCTCTAACCATAGCCCTCTCGCTAGTATAGTAGTACGCTTAGACACATGGCTATGTGAAAGAAGATGTAGGGGGTGCACGATAAAAAAATCACGATCTTTGAAAAGATCAGTGAGTTTCGCCTATGTGCCATATTTGATGGTGCGCGGCTTTTGGAGCAAAAGTAGCTGTAAAAGTCGCGTAATTTGACCAAATTCGTCCAAATTTGACCGTTTTTGTCGTATTATTCGGATATATCTTCAGTTCCTTAAATGAGATCATTCTGAAAATTGGCCACGACCTTCCAATAGGGTTTTTACATCTGTCCGAAAAATTTGGTGGATATCGGAGTGATATAGTGATCAAAATGGGGCAAAATACGCTGCTTTTATGTTTTAGCTGTAACATAATGTCTGATGGTTGGATATGCTTTAAATTTTTCGGACACTTTCCTTCTTAGTCTATGAGTAAGCTTACCAATTTTTGTTGCAATTGGAGGTCGGGAAGGATACTCAATATCTATTAGTTTGAAGAAAATTTTGCTGGCCGAAATTAGCGCTAAAAAACCATCCTACAGTCGGCACGCGCGGCTCACTGTCGATGGCGCGGCGCACTACCTAGAAGATGATGTAAAGATCTTAATGTTAAATTAGCATTTGCAAATTAATAGTATTGAAATCTCGCACAGCAAGTTATTAAAAAAATGTAATGAGAGTCGAGCCGAATTTATTGTTCAGTAATCACATTTACAATGGGTTTACACATTACATAACCGTTTAAATTTCAAATTAATGTTCCTGCACGAATGAAAATGCTTCATAATCATATATCGTACCCACGAGTTTTCAGTTTACGAACTACGCGCAAGTGTGAAGTGCAAGCGCGAAAGCTTTATGACAGGCTGAGCGCGGCCCAGTAACGATCTTCGGGATTGGAATTATTTTGGATAAATACCTTACAGCTTTGAGCTTCGAGTAATCTATTTGACGATGTTTGTTGTAGCGCGATGCACTACTGGGCCGCGCCGCGCAGCCAATAATGCTTCTTGCAACCACAAGTGCTTTACTAAACATAGTCCCAGGAAAAGTTACCGGCTGGTGGTGGTACTAGAGTTGGTTTAATTTAAACAGACGGCTTGACCTCGCGCGCGACAACAAGCATGATTTGCACGCGTGGCGCATTCCAATGTTCAGGCAGCTACCACGTGACACAATTCAGCCAACCAGAGTACAGGAATCCGCAAAGTTAAAGTTGCAAACTTTTGATCGGCCCGAAAGGGGACTTTTCTGGAGATTTTGAGATAACTCAACAATTACGTTGTCTTGAATTTTCCTCCTGGAGAGGTAACGTTACTTTTACAAAAGGAACATGTTACAAAAAACCGGAAGTCTCCAACTCTTTTACTTTCAAAGTTAAGCCCCCATCCGGTCAGGGTTCCTGGGGTTGGTCAGTACGTTACTGTACGAACTTTTAAAAGGTGTCGAACTGTACAAATTTTAAAAAAGCTGTCGAGGAATTTTTACCGAATTTTTTTTTAATTTTGTTTTTTAATCACTTCAGTCCAAAAAATTTGTTATTTTTGTCCGGGAGGTTACACTTCAGATTTAAAATATTAACATGCATCCGCACGTCATCGTTTCCCGCCATTTTAACACAAATTGTTGCAATTAGCTTTTCGAAAATTTATGAGGCGAATTTTCCCAAAATAATCCCGAACTGAAAAAACGTGCCAAACTGTACGAATTTTTTACGACTTTTGTACGAACTGACTTGTAGCGCGATGCGTTACTGTGCCGCGCCGCGCACTTAATAAGGCTTCTCACAGCGACCTGGCTAGATCGGCGAAATGCGCTATATACTGTGCCGCGCCGAGCTGCCATGAATTGACATCGTCAATTAAGAACTGACCAACTATGTTACTAAATTGTCGACGCGATATGCACCATGACTGGGCCTCGCCCGAGCTGTGAACAGTGAAGGATTGACATCGTGAATCAACGCGATGCGTTACTGTGAGTGTGTCACGCCGCGCATCCAAAAATGCTTCTTGGTATCCAATAATGCTTTTCGGCGAAATGCACCACTGAGCTGTGAAAGATTGGCATCATGAATCAACGATGTTAGTAACTTGTATAAATTTTGTCGAAATAGTGCGTGCCGCTAATTTCTTCCGATCCCGAAATGTTAAGGGTCGACGGTCGTTTACATATTAGTATTACGTAATCAGCTGAGGAGGTTGGGGTTTTCAAATGATTATTGATTACGCTAGTGTAATATATTGACATAAATATATTAGCTATGGTAAAACTGATTACGGGGTATGTGAACGACCCCTCATTGTTAGTAATCAGTTCCATACATAGCTATTAAGCTATTAATTGTTAATATCATGTCACAATCACACTAGCGAGCGTAATAATTTGGAAAACCCCGGCCGGCGGCATCAGGCCCCTTATATAATTATAATATGTAAACGACCCCTTGATTAAGTGATATTTAATATTTTGTTTCCACTCAGCCGAATATTTGATAAATCGAGTGTAATAGTTGGGTGACTTCGACGAGCCGCGCAAGCTTATAGTTATAGTTATATCATTCTCACTTAAATTATAATTAATTTTCATACACAGTAAAAATTAATTTTCATATAAAATAAAAATAACAAAAAAGATTGGGTGGGAAAAGACAGGCTGCGCTTACGGTCCCAGTAAAACACACACACACACACACACACACACACACACACACACACACACACACACACACACACACACACACACACACACACACAACACACACCACACACACACACACACACACACACACACACACACACACACACACACCCACCCAGATAGCAACATCTAGCGCTAAATAGCCTGGACTGTCACGACCCAAAATTCTTCGCTATTTAGCGCTATCTAACGCTATTTAGCGCTATCTAACGCTATCTAGCGCTATATGTCGCAACGACATCTGACGCTATATAGCGCTATCTGGTGCTATATAGCGCTAGATAGCGTGAACTGTCGTAAACTGACTTATCCCGCTATCCAGCGCTTGATGTCGCCTGCGTCAGATGTCGTCGCGACAGATGTCGTCAGATGTCGTCAGATGTCGCTAGATGGCGTCAGATAGCGTCAGATGTCGCGGCAACATATGACGCTAGATGACGCTAGATGTCGTCCCTAGAATTTTGATGAAAATAGCGCTATCTGTCGCCTGGCGTCAGTGCTGCGTGCTTAGCGTCATCTAGCGTCATCTAGCGTCATCTAGCGTCATATAGCCGTCATATAGCGCTAGATAGCGCTAGATAGCGCTAGATAGCGCTAGATGGCGCTAGATAGCGACATTCGAAAGGTGCCGTGCACTTAGCGACAATGTCGCTAATTGGCGTCATCTAGCGTCATCTAGCGTCATCTAGCGTCATCTATCATCATCTGGCGATATTTCACGCTAGATGACGCTAGATGACGCTAGATGACGTCATATGTCGAATTTCAACTATCAGTAAAGGTCCACTTGGACTACTTAAGAGAACATGTCATTTCACTACTGATAAAAGGCAGAAAATATCGTTCTATTTAGCGTTAATTAGGTCCATATTTGAACATTGTTCTGTCATATGGTCCCCTCAATCTGCAACTCATCTTCAACAGTTTGTTGCTATCCAAAAGAGGGCTATTAAATAGATCAATGGTGAACCCTACTCCAGTTATAATGACGATAAACTTGCTACAGAGCAAAAGAAGCTAAATATTCTCCCTGTCATGCAGAAGTTTATTAATAACGATCTTATGACCTTCTATAAAATAGTGAATAGCATAATCCCAGTTTCGCTTCCTACTTATATAGTCCTATGCCGTCCAGAGGGCACCCGATACACTAGGCACATTGCTCAAATAATTGATAGGTCGGATACTTCAACTTACATGAGTACCACTGTGCCTGCTCGGATGCCTTCCGAAATAGCTTCTTTCATAGATCTATGCTGAAATGGAATAGTCTACCAGTATGTATCCGGCAGTCAGAGCGGATTCCTACTTTTAAGGCCAATCTGATCAAGTACCTATGGGCTGCCGATACAGTCTGGCCAGACTAGCTCATCAGTCTTATGAGTCTCAGAAATGTGTTTTTGTTGGTTACAATTCTGTCCGTCCAATTTCCTATCCGCTTGTCCTTCTTTTTTCTTTTATCAGTTATGACGGAATTGTAATGAACAAAATCCATATATAATTATTTATGATATGTTTGATTTCTTGTTATTGTATGTCATTCAAATTTGGTAGACGGCCCCAACGTTAATGTGGCTCTTGCTATGTGTTGGTTCAGCCGAATTAATTATTATGTAATCAAGTTTGTTTTTCTCTTTTAGTTGTCATCCGGCCAAACATTAAGCAACTTATATTGCAGTACCTTTTATCAATTAGTTTATCAAAATATGTCATTGTAATTTTGCATGGCTAAAATGTAACGCTTGATTTATATATATAACTAGAAAACCCGTGGTCACAGGGAGGAAGCTAATAGTATTTTTTGTTAGGAAGTTTAAATCGCGGCAAAAAATATTTGCCGCGAAGATACTGAAGATACAGCCAATTAAAATGTTGCTCGTACTAAACACAGCGTAATATCAACAAAACCTATCGTTAAAACAATCATTGCACGTGCACGTGCGTGTAATACCCTCGTTACCATAGTTACTACGCAAGTTCGTATTTTTCGTTTGATTTGTCGTACATCCTACAGAAAGAATCTTTTGAATTATAGTAGAGATAATTAATTGAATTTTCAAATTTTAAAAAAATACCAAAGTACTAATAACAGACTCTTAAACCTTATTATTGTTGACTAATTATTGTTGACTACCATAGTGCCACAAAGAATAATTTTAAACATTTTCTAATTTTATTTATTTCTTAGTATGCTCATAACATGTGTGTAATATTACAATCAGTAAAATGTAAGGGAAGCTTTGAGTTGTTATTTCTACATTATGTATTTGAGTCTTCATAATAATATTTATAGACATATCGCAATCTTTTATATAGGGGTTTATATTATGTATTATATCAATTATTTAATATGTAACTTAGTTTATTCTCTTTAGTGTCATATCTGATGTTGAAAAGAATGGGCAAAATTTTGTATACAATTCTGTAGTCTGTACCAGTATTAGGTAAGATGCCATTATCGTCTAATTACCAGGGCCACTATATTAAAATATTATGACAATATTATATTAAATTGAAATGATTGTTATGTTTTCACTAGTGTAATATCTGATTTTGATCATTGAAATTTATCCCCATTTTGTTTTGTATACTCTTTGATATAATATTACAAACTCAACAATATTTTTAGAATTAGCATGGTACCGAACTAGTGTAATATCTGATGTTGATCATTGAAACTTATTCCATTTGTTTTGTATACTCTTGGATATATTACAAATTCAACAATATTTTCAGAATTAGCATGGTACCGAACTGAAAATATCAGAGGTGAATGCGGATAGTTAAACCCTCGTGGGTTCGATCAAAAGAGCCGCTCTTTTCGTGTGATGTTCACCCTGATGGTAAAAAATTTGCTACAGGAGGACAAGGAGAGGGCAATGGTCGCATCACATCTGGCATGTAGCACCTGTAGCTCGGCAGAAAGCTGAGAAGTCTGCCTTCAAGAAGAGTATTGCCACACTTGAGCACCCACCAAAGATGTGTCAACTGTGTTAGGTGGTCCCAGCAGTGGTCAATTTCTAGGAAGTGCTAGTGATGATAAATTAGTGATGATTTGGGGGGCTGTGAGGTATGAGGGTTCTGAGTCTGAATCTTATAAGTGTCTTCATATCTTGCGTGGACATGACAGTGATGTGCTGGACTTGGCTTGGTCTCCTGATGATTCCTACTTAGCATCCTCAAGTATTGATAACAGTGTTATCGTGTGGAATTGTCGGAATTTTCCTGAAAAGCTGACTACATTAAAAGGTCACGATGGTATGGTGAAAGGTGTAGTTTGGGATCCTATCGGCAGATATCTGGCCACTCAGTCAACGGATAGAACTTTGCGAGTTTGGCGTCTGTCTGACTGGCAGGAGGAAGCTAAGATAAGCGACCCATTTTCAAAATGTGGAGGAAATACAACCGTTCTCAGGATCGGTTGGTCGCCTGATGGTCAGTACATCGTGTCCTCTCACGCAATGAACAACGAGGGCCCTGTCGCCAAGATTATTGAACGAGAGGATTGGAAAGCTAGGATGGACTTTGTGGGCCACCGTCGTGCAATAGAAAGTGTTAGATTCAACCCTAATCTATTCTACTACAACAAAAGACCAGTATCCTGTGTAGCTATTGCTGGTAGAGACAGCAGCATATCTGTCTGGTTAAGTCCGTTAACTGCTCTGAAACGGCCCCTGTTTGTTCTGCATGATGTCTTCGCCAGCTCAGTGCTGGACATGTCATGGACTCCTGATGGATACGGACTTTTTATCTGTTCTCTTGATGGGAGTTTAGCTTATATTGAGCTGAGCAGTGCTGAAATCGGTAAGACTTTGTCCCCTCAGCAGACAGCTAGCTTGAGAAGTAGTTTGTACGGTTCATTCTAAACCGGAGAAACTCACTATCATAGAAAATCTGATCTTCTTGAGGATGAAGAAGACCAAATGGTGATGAGGAATCTTTGAGCAGCGATTCAGAGGAACCAATGGATGTAGACACAACAGATGAGCTCAGTACAGAAGCTAGTTCCAAGTCAAGGGAGGGTAGTCTGCAGCCGGAACCTCGTCACCAACATAACGGTTTCTCCACTTCAAACAACGGGGGATTCGCAAATGCCTTCTCTAATTCAAATGGTAACGGTATAAAACGATAACATTCTCAGCTCTGTCCCCGACAAACTGTCCCTACGTTTTGAAAAGCCCTCATCCTCCTCAGTTTCCTCCAAACCTTCCTCCTCGGTATCCTCACCTGTATCCTCTAATGTATTCAATAAGCAAGTAGAGACCACTACTAAAGACGGCAGAAGGAGAATCATGCCCATTACACTGAAAGAAGTTCCTGTAGCGTCTCAGAAGCCTACCCAAGCAACAAAACGGGTGCTGTTAACCCCAGTATCTAACTCTAAAGCTTCTGAAGTGCTTCCCTTAGAGACTAAAAGTAGTGCTATTAGTCTCGGTGACATTCCAGTTAAATTATCAAACCGTTTACAACCAATTAGGAAAACTCCTGTTTTAAAAACACAACAGAAATTAGAATCTAAAGACAAACTTTTGCCTTGATTTCTGGTTGCAGAGTAGAGGCTGATAACATTCAGAACATGGTGACTTTCGCTCTGGGACCCAAGTCTTGGAAGACAGTTATATACAGCAAGGCTACATCACTCTCTGCGGGAGATAGTTACCTGGTGTTGGGATGTCAAAATGGCACACTTCATGTTTATAACAAACAGGGGGTTTTAGCATTTCTGTTTCTCAATGTGGGGTGCTCTATTGTAAAGTCTGCTGTTAATGGGAATTATGTTGTGGTGATCACTAGTGCTCCTGCTTTAACAATTTGGAACGTTGCTGAGAAGAAGAACGTTCTCAAAGATGAATCTCTTGCATCATTCATGACTGAAAACAAGTCCATCTGCAGCCTGGAGATCACAAAAGAAGGAAATGTAACAATTGGACTGAGCAACAAAACCAGCTACTGTTACAGTTACAGTCTATCAGCATGGATGTTGATCGGCCACCACCAACTAGACTCAACCTGGTACAAAGAACTCCAAACCAACAAACAACAAATCACACCCTCTCAAATCCTGTGCCCTATCCTCCAGACCCACGTCCTCCACCCCCGACACCAGCTCTACCAACAGAGACAAGCTCCACCTCAACACTGTCCTCATGTTAGAGCAACAGATCCTGGTAGCGGAGAACCTGAGTTCTTTCTCCGAGTGCAGGCTGTGGTTATCCTCCCTGGTCCGGTATCTGACCATGCAGCAAGAGGAGGACAGGCTACACTCACTTCTCCAGCGCCTCATTTCCTCACCTCTACCCACTCTCTTCAACGAGGACAAACTGAGTGTCCTGAAAGAGCTGTTGAAGATAGTTGCTACTAATATTAATTGTCAGAAAGTTTATTCTGATTTTAAGCAACAAGTTGAGTGGGCTGAGACTAAGAGGTGACAGGATTGTACTCTAGAATTCTTTAAGTTAAATCAGGGTATATTTTATAAAGTAGTAAGTAAATGAAAAATACTTGCTTGTATATTTATTTTCAGATTACATTTTTTATAAATGAAAGTCGCCCTGCACGCTAGTTGAATTTTGTTTGATTTTTATTTCTTTTTTTTTCCCCATTTACATATTATTTTAACGTATTATTTTAACGTATTATTTTAACGTATTATTTTAACGTATTATTTTAACGTATTATTTTAACGTATTATTTTAACGTATTATTTTAACGTATTATTATAACGTATTAATATAACGTATTAATTTGATTATTTAAACGTATTAACAACTAATTACTTATTGTGTTCCTAAGTTTTTTATAATACTTTTAATCAATTCGTAATTGTTTGATCTATTTATTCTGGAAAGTGTCGAATATTTTAAAATTATGTTTTTGTTTTATTAATGATACAGATAGAGACATTTTAGTTAAAGTTAAAGTATTATTGGCCCTGCATCCTTAGTAACTGTACTTATCGTACTTTTTTATAATACTTTTTACGACTTTTAATCATTGGTAATTGTCTGATTTTGAAATAAACTCAACAACAATCGTATATTTATAATTCATCATTTACATCATTTGCATCAATTCCAGACACTGCTTTTAATTAATTTACTGCATACAGTTAACATTTAATATAATAACGAATAACACTATCTACATTTTAATAGGTAAAATGTGCACCCTCATCTTCCTCCTTCACCCCTCGTCTGCCTGCCAAAACTTATCCCAAAAGGTATTCAGTGTTACCACCCACTTACTGTGGCTAATTATTAGCATTTTAACTGAAGTTTTACTGAAGTTTACTGAAGTTCACTTCAGAGATTTATTAAGTAGCGGTATTGTATCGAGTTTGGTTTGGTTAGTAGATTTGTGTAGTTCGAAAAATTAATGTGTGTATAAATTTGGAAAATATGTAAGGTTCCTACAGCTTACTGCATTTCAACTAGTTTTTTTGGTATATCTTATTGTCGAAGCGTGTTAAAAATGTTAGAATTTTCTCGACATTATCGTCCATATAGCGCTATATATTACACTATCGCACTATTTACTAAGTATTCTTATCTCCTTGATAGCAATGATTCATCACCCAGAGCGGCATAATCGGCAAAAGATAAAGTTAGTGTTTAATTATCTTCTCTCAAACAATTACATTCCAAAGGAATAATGACCATTTTAATGGCCATTTGAACAAAAACATGTCAGGTATGATGGATTTGAAATCTGGGATATTAGATACCATTTTGATGGACCATTTTAATACTAGCTGTTGTTATCGTGATATCGGTGATATTCTCAAATATGCCTTGACATTATTTATTTTCACTTGCTCAACACTCGACCACAGATTGACAGATTGATCAAGCACGAAAATGTGCCTTAACTAATTATAATTGTAATTGGAAATTTTGAATCGTGTTAGCAGAATTTCTCAAACTGGATAATGGATATTTACTATATTCGTACTTATTGTTTCTACTGAGTTAACCCATTGGTTCATATAAATAGCGCTTTATCAATTATGTTATATCATAGCGTTAAAAAAGGACAAGAATAAGCTAACTGTTGTATCATGTCCTTCATTTTTGTGTTGAAGAAATTATATAAAATTTTCCATTCTATTTATTTTCTAAGAAATTTTAAATGACTCTGTCATTTTAAGAATTTGCAATTTAACGGCATTCCAAATTCCACAGCTGATTATCAAACATAGTTCATCACTTCCTTATTTTCATAGAACCTATAAATAATTTTTACGTTACACATTTCAACGCCACTTATTTACACTCAACATTAAAACGACCGTAAATTCCAAAATATCTAGATGTACACCAAATGTGAATATTTCTCTTTCCAAACAAATAAAATATCTTTTTCCTGGAAATGAGCTATAGATGGCATCGGGTCAAGATGATTTATATACTGATTTCATTGAAGTTTATTAAAACCCCGATTTACTGCGGAGTTTTGGGAATGTAAATAGCAGCGGTATATGAGGGGTTTTACTGTATCATGAGGGGTTTTACTGTATCATGAGGGGTTTTACTGTATCATGAGCACAGACTACAAGTTGGTCACATGATATCCATCTTAAATCATAAGTTTAAGTTGGTTCGATCAGAGAGGATTTAATCTAAAGATTATAGGTCAAGCTTGTAGCGCTTAAATATTCGATTCTTGTGCTGAGAAAATTAACTAATATTATCATATCGTTCATATTTACTTCAGGGTAATAATCACCATAACAATGCAGTTAACAGACGACGTGTAATAGACGAACACTTGGAGTAGACGTCAACCCCTAATCAGAGATAGCTCAAAAATGTAAATATCTTACTTCATGAAGTAGTCATTCTGTCTTATTAATTGATAACATTTCAGTAATTTTACATTTTAACGAATATTGTGTATTAATTTTGACATCACATTTTCTTCAGATCACTGCAGATCTGCTGTTCAGCTGTCTAATCTGAATGACACGGTTCCAAACAAATATGTCTGCCTGATTTCCTGACAAGTTGGAAACTTAGGAACACATTTGTAAGTGTCCCTTAGAAGGGACACTTACAAATGAGAAGAACAATTCAAACTTTTTAACTACTGCTCAAATAGAACGTGTCGTTATGAAATCATTTAAATTTCGTGCTATTTTGATGAATTATCAAGTTTGATTGATTGGTTGAAATAAATTAGATATTTTTTCTCGCAAATGTATTTCCCTGATTATTTAAAAGAACATAATGTTTACAGAACTAAATCAGTCGATAACAATTTTATTTCTCATTTCTAGTTCTCAATCAGTAAAAATTAAAGATCAATCGTTTTAGTTGTTAATTTATACTAATCAAACTTGGAAGATTACTCTGCAAATTCTGTAACTGCTCGGCCTCTAAATGTGGCTTATATCGGTTATTTACTCGCTTGTATTGTTTTATTATATGAGGTAAATTATATATCACGTTTATACGACTGAACGAAATATTTTGATTTAAGAAATGTTTGCAGAATTGTTTGTGATAATTTATTTCGTATCTATCTAATCGATTTTACATCCAAACTAAAAAGGATTTATTATTGGGAATATGTGAACTATAGCTTAGATCTATAGGTTCAATACTGAGTAAAAAAATCTCAAAATCTGATCTACGACCTACTGATGTTACAGGCCGAAAATTTGAGCTAATAATTGTATTGCTCTCTGGGACTTTCAAAAATTAACCTCTCCCGAGCCAAATTTCCTTCAGGTTAATCAGTTCACTTTAACTTTTTCAAAATTTAACCCGGCTTTGAAACTTTAACGTAAGGAGGGGCTTATTTACAGTGGTGGCTAGAAGCCATCAGAGAAGCAAATTCCTCTAAACTTATACCAACACACCAGCCTCTCCTCTATACAAGCTATCTACTCGCTTTCAACGAGGAATAGAACTACTAGAGACTGTTATGACTCCCTCAATGCACTCGGATCCACTAACACTCTAGAGATGCGATGGATAGCAGCACACATCGGATTGCGGGGAAACGAAAAAGCAGATGAGGATGCCAAGCTTTGCACAACCAGTGAATCCACTTTGAATTGTCCCATTCCACAGCCTTATATCAAACGCCTGATCGTCGTGATCTACAAAGTCGCCAGACTGGATCAGGACGACTGGTCAAACACACCAAAATGACACTTGGTACCAAGCATGAGCAATCATCAAAAACCTCAACACTGCATTCAAACACAATAGACAAAAGTACAGAACTGCAGTATGCCTTATCACGGCACATTGTGGTATGAACAAGCATCTCCATACCATTTGAAAATCAAGCACAACTGCGTGTCATATATATGTGTGGTGATGGAGAGGAGACTGTTCCGCACTTTCTCGGACAGTGCCCAGCTATTGCACAATTAAGAGGGCAATACTTTCAGGATTATTACCTCTGCGTCGACGGCATCTTTGACAACCAACATATCTCCACTATTGTCAATTTCGCAAATCACACCAAACAACTTATCGTGCCAGAGGAACTGGACCAGATAGGAGTGGCCTGGACAAGATAGGAGTGGCCTCTCTTCATTATTTCTGGTCATCACCTTTTATTTTTCACTTGAGCGTCTACTCATTCCCCCCCATTTCATACTTTCACTTAATCTCTACATAGACAACCCCGGCAACCTTCTCCAGGTTGCCATACCCCAGAGGCAGGCAGAGCATTCTCATGCTATCCTCTCGTGGGCCATTTAGGTTCAGCCCCTCTTCAACAACAAAATAATGCAGTCAGTCTCAATAAAAATGTTTTAAAAGCTAAGAATTTGAGGAATATATCGATCAGTTGTATATTAAGTCGATTATTAAGAAGATGTTTTATTAAATATCATAAAATTGTTTGTAATCTATATAAATATATGAAACTGGCAGCAAGCATCTGATAAGTACACACGAAAAGTCAAATTTTCAAATCTTTGACAATGTTATTCTTCTAAGTCTGAATAACCACTATAATAAACTATACAATAACACTATGATACACTATACACTAACAATATACACTATACACTATACACTATACACTAACACTATACACTATACACTATACACTATACACTATACACTATAAACTATAAACTATACACTAACACTAACACTAACACTATACACTAACACTAACACTATACGGTGAATACAATATACACTATACACTATACACTATACACTATACACTATACACTATACACTAACACTAACACTTACACTATACACTAACACTATACACTAACACTAACACTATACGGTGAATACAATATACACTATACACTATACAATACACACTAACACTATACACTATACACTATACACTATACACTATACACTATACACTATACACTAACAC